CGCGATCGGCACCAAAATGCTGCTACTGGCCGAGAGAGGCGGGGTCCCTTCGTCTCTGGCTGTCACCAGGATCTTATATTCAGACACTCGCTCCCGATCCACGGCCTCCGCCAGTACCAGCGAGTGATAATTCTTAAAGGTGGAGACGAGCCGAAAGGGCAGGTTCGGGGGGATGGAGCAGGTGACTTTGCCGTTGACTCCGGAGTCCCGGTCAGAGACGCTAATAAGAGCCACCACTGTCCCCGGGGGAGCGTCCTCCGGAACCGGTAGAGAAAGGGAAGTCATGGCCAGCTCAGGGATGTTATCGTTCACGTCTATAACGTCTATCAAAATTTTGCAATGGCCAGCCAGTGGCAGATTCCCTTTATCCTTCGCCTCAACTCGAATTTCATATACACTGTGCACTTCAAAATCAATTTCTCCTTTAACTCTGATCTCACCAGTATTTGAATTTATACTGAACAAGTCTCTTCCACTAGGGGGAAGATGACTAATGAAGGAATAGGAAATATCCTTATTAGTTCCCTCATCCAAATCTGTGGCGTTGAGGGTCATCACTAGTGCACCATTAGCTGTATTTTCCAATAATTTTATTTCGTAGACTGACTTATTAAATACAGGCGCATTATCATTAGCATCCAGGACAGTGATGAGGAGCTGAACTGAACCCGTCAGCTCCGGTTTACCCCCATCAGTGGCGGTGAGTAATAAATGATGCATAGAGGCTTCCTCTCTATTCAGTGGTTTCTTTAAAACCATATCGGCAGATGTGATTTGATCATTTTTCGTTTGCAAGTCTAGAGTGTAATGTTCATTTGGGCTGAGTTTATAGGTTAGCACAGAGTTTGTACCAATATCTGCGTCAGATGCGCCCTCTAGTGGGAATCGAGAGCCCGGCAATCTAGATTCTGCAATAAATATATTTAAGTCATTTGCCGAAAAAACAGGAGCATTGTCATTTATATCCTGTATCTCTATTTCAATGTGAAATATCCTCAGGGGTTTGTCCACTATCACCTCCAGGTCAATGGCGCACAGGGGGCTCTGGCCGCACAGCTCTTCCCTGTCTACTCGCGAATTAACAAACAAAACGCCGTTCTGCAAATTTACCTCAAAATAGTCTCTCCTGCCGTTGGAGACCATCCGGAACATCCGAGGCACCAGCTCCGCCACCTCCAGCCCCAGGTCCTGGGCCAGGCGGCCCACAAAGGTGCCGTGTTTGGATTCCTCCGGCACAGAATAACGGACCTGGCCGCTGCCCACTTCCCAGGCCGTGTGTAACAGAACCAACCGCAGCAGCTGCCTGGTTACCAGGGAGTCTCGCCGGAAAACTGCCATCGCGAACGTGGAATGTTTCGGATTCAAATCTGATTAACTAATTACTAGCCGTTCTATATAATATTTTTGAGCTACCCTGGAGTACTGTCACAATGAATTCCAGCCGCTCTTGTCGCATCCAGTATGATTCAGTTATTCTGAGGCTGGGGCAGCCAGTGTTTTCTTCCTCCAAGGGTGGAGCTATGTTTTCATTTTCCAGGGATAACGCGGTTTTTTAGTAGACAGCGCCACAATGTGGTACATGTGAGTCACAGCAACAAATTATTTTTTCGTATTTATATTTAATTCATCATTAAGAATAAATATTTTCATGTTACTTATATCTAAAATAATCTGATTTCTGATCATTCTCATATTATATCTGTGCATAGGAAAATCTGAATGAATGATGCTGTAATAACCGGTGATAGACTGAAGGAACTTTCCTTCCCCAATAAAACAAATATTGAAATATTTAACTGTAAAGCAGATATAAATGTAAAATGATAATATCTATTTTATATTTTTCCTCCATCTCTAATACTCAGAGTGTCCACTTTTTATTGATAGAAATGGGAAATGCGGCTGCCACAATCATCTCAGTTAACATTTGAAAAAATTACTTTGCTAATGATTCTGGCCTTTTCTTTACAAAGAGATTTGAGTTCTGACGTTTGAAAACAGGAGTTCCCTACACTTCGTTTCGCTTTTGAAACCCTCCCTAACTTGCTCTATCCTACCTCATGGGTCCTTTGAAACTCTCGCCTTTTCTCCTCCCCACTCCTTCTGCTCCTTTAGGGCCTGATTCAAACCTCAGTGAAACACCACTGACGTAAGAATAAGATTCTTTCACTCAGGGCCGGCTTTAGGCCGATTCCCCCGAATCGGGCACTGCGCCCCGCGCCTAAGAGGGCCCCCCACCCAGCCAGAGCGCGGCAATCGCCGCGACCCCACTCCTCCCAGCGGAGCGCGGCAAGCCCTGTGGCCCCGCTCCCTCGGCCGGAGCGCCTGCCCGAGCGCTTCAAGTCCCGCGGCCCTGCTACCCCGGTCAGAGCGCGGCAAGCACTGCCGCCCCCTTCCCCCAGCCAGAGAGCGAGCAGACAGCTCTAAGCACGCGGCCCCGGCCAGAGCACTGCAAGGCCGCGGCTCCGCTCCCGCGGCCGGAGCGCGGCAAGATCCCGCGGCCCTCTACCCCTGCCGGAGCGCGGCAATCCGAAGTGCCGCCGAAGTCTGGGAGCGCCGCCCGGTGAGTACAAGACTCACGAATCCGGCCCGCACTTGCTAAAGCCGGCCCTGCTTTCACTAATTTTAATAAGCTTTGGTTCAGGCCCTATTTCCTCGCATTCCGTCCGCAATCTTACCTCCCCAGCTCTATCCTTTTGGAACAGTCTTTTATATATGTCTGCCCAAACGACTCTCCAGCTCTAAAATCTCATCTATAACATTTTTCTCTTTACTTTTTAATTTCTCTTTCTTTTTTCTATTATTTATTATTTAACTCCGTAGTCGTATAATTTACCGTAACCCTGTAAAATGCTTTGGGGCACACGAAGATAAATGCAGTGGAAAATAAAATGTTCTTCTATTGTTTCCTGGGTTGCTGTTTATCATTTATTGAGCCAGTGTCCAGCATTTGTCAGTAGAAGGAACAAGAATTTTAATGGAGAGTAAAATTTGTTACCAACAGCTAAACTGTGAAACAACTAAGTTTTCCCTTTTAAAAAGATCAATTTCTATTCCTACTAATAACAAGTCACTTTTAAATAGAAGTGCAGCTGGTACCAACAACAGATCAGTTTAATAAAAGAAGATGAAATATATTTATCTATATTTTATACTATGCCCAACGCCATGGTATCTAAGCGCCTTACAAAACTGATATGTGTGAGTGGATTACAGGCAGCTCTCATATGTTGTTTCTCTTCCTTGTCCAGGGATACCTAGGATCAAATTCACGTTTCTCTTCTTTTCTTTGTATTCTTGTCATTCCTTGTATTTCTATTCCTCTTCCGACAGCGGAACCAGCTCGGGCCCTGGCGAGCCGCGGCCGGAGCCAGCCGGGGACACTGCGGGCGCGTTGTCATTTTCATCCAGGACAAAGAGCTGCACAGTCACGTTCCCGCACAACGACGGGAACCCGGCGTCCCTCGCGCTCACCTGGAACTGCAGCACTTGCAGCTCCTCGTAGTCAAAGGGCTGCAAGGCATAGATGTGCCCGCTCTCCGAGTGCACCGAGAAGTAGCCGGACAAGGACTGCTCTACCACACTTCGCTCTACCACCGAGTAGTTCACAAAGGCGTTTTCCCTCAGGGCCGGGTCCGAGGCCGACACGGTGAAGAGATGGGCCCCGGGCGGGTTGTTTTCCTTCACGAACACCGAGTAAACGGGCTGTGCGAAAGCGGGGGCGTTATCGTTCACATCCGCGATCGGCACCAAAATGCTACTGCTAGCCGAGAGAGACGGGGCCCCTTCGTCTCTGGCTGTCACCAGGATCTTATATTCAGACACTCGCTCCCGATCCACGGCCTCCGCCAGCACCAGCGAGTGATAATTCTTAAAGGTGGAGACGAGCTGAAAGGGCAGGTTCGGGGGGATGGAGCAGGTGACTTTGCCGTTGTCTCCCGAGTCCCGGTCAGAGACGCTAATAAGAGCCAGCACTGTCCCCGGGGGAGCGTCCTCTGGAACCGGCAGAGAATGAGACGTTATTGTTAACTCAGGGGCATTATCGTTAATATCCAAAATTTCCACCAAAACATTGCAATGTCCAGCCAAAGGAAACGGGCTTTTATCTCTGGCTTCCACTCGAATTTCATACAGGGTTTTGACTTCATAATCGACTTCTCCTTTAAGTCGGATCTCACTAGTATAAGCATCAATGCTGAATATTTTTCTCACACTGAATGGGAGATCACTAAAGGAGTATGAAATGTCTTTATTAATTCCTTCGTCCAAGTCCGTCGCATTAAGTGTAATGACTAACGTTCCATGACCTGCATTTTCTAACGAACTCACCTCATAAACAGATTGGTTAAATATAGGCGCGTTATCATTCGCATCCAGCACAGTGATCACCAGCTGAACTGTGCCTGTGAGCCCCGGTTTGCCCCCGTCAGTGGAGGTGAACAATAAACGATGCTCAGGAATTTCCTCTCTGTCCAGAGATTTCTTAAGCACAAGTTCCGCCAATGTACTGTGGTAATTTTTTACTTGCACATCTAAAGTGAAATAATTATTTAGGCTGAGTTTATAGGTTCGCAGAGAGTTTGTACCAATATGGAAGAGGTGGATGAGGCTTTTTTTAAGCAACTAACAAAATCATCCAAAGCCCAAGATTTGGTGGTGATGGGGGACTTCAACTATCCGGATATATGTTGGCAATCAAACAACAC